AAAAAAAAGGAAATAAAAACCATGAAAAAAATATACAATTGAACAAACATACAGATAAAGATACAAATAAATAAATGTACACTAACACATAGGTTACCATTATTCTACAAAACAGAAGTAAAATACGAGCGAACCAAAAAAAACATTATTTAAATAGCTGAACAAAAGGTTAAAAAAAACCATCGAAAATGCAATAAATCTTTTTTTTTGAAGGAATTAAATAAACATCCAATTATGCACAAATAAATCCAACCCCTATTTGCTACATTAGTTCTTCAATCCTATACTTCTTCTTGTACGTTTCCCTTTCCTTCATGTTTTCAGCAACTTCTTAACTGAAAAAAAAAAATTACAATAAAAAAACAAAAATATGAAGAAAACACAGTAAAACTAAAGAACTAAATAAACTGTCTATCACACACAAAATTTCAATTATATTTGCAAAAAAGCAAAAATATCTAATCAACCTTGCACTGTTGATGAACATTTAATATGCCGCTGAATATGAAGAACCTACCAAACGAAAAGAAGACAGTGAAAAGATAAATGAGAAAGTAAATATTGAAAGCAGAAAAAAAAAATTGTACGAGATATCGGACCATTGATACCTTCCGAAAAAAAAAAAACTTCATAAAATAAAATCACCAATACAGTTCAAATCCAACAATTTTTAACTGTAAAAAAAACGTTTCCATTCTGGTATACTGCTGAACCAAGCAGTTACGAACCTCTGAATCAAAGTAGCCTTCAACCTTCCTGAAACATCCGGTACTAAAATTTTTCTCCTCCCTCTCCAGAACAACGCATCTGCGAAAGCATTCAATACTGCTTTCAATAACTGACTCATAAGTAGAAGTAAAATGGGTAGTAAACGGAAAAAGTGGAAATAAAAATGCAAATAAGCAGCAATAAATACTATTACGTCTTCACAATGTAGACAGGACTAACAGATGATTGTGTCTGAACCGCCACTTCAAACATCCTCATGTAAGCGTTCTCAGAATCAACAAAAGTGGACAAAGTATG